TTTTTATTTCAATGGATTCACGCACTATATGAAAGTAAATAAGTTAATTCCACGTAATGATAATATAGCTACAATTGCCGTAATAGTAGTTTTCGTTATGTTCACGAAAACCGAAAAAATGTTGTAAAACAATTATGCTCAAAAAAATTCTATCGACATTTATGTTCTTAATTTTTTATATATTTAATATTATATGTGATAAAATTAATTGCATAAGTTCAATGAAATATTAATTTTATTCCATATTAATCTATAAAGTTAAAACTAGAATAACACATTTTATCTGTAACTGTTTGCCTCCTTGTTACTCATTGTATGCGTGATATTACATTGAACGGTTAACATTTAATCACAGAAATGGCGGGAAGTTCAAATTAATTATAAAATAGTTAGCTCATTACTGTTTGCTAGCCATTTCAAATTATACATAAATAGTTAATTGCTCAATGAAGTTTTACTGGTTGTTATTTGTTGTGGTTCTCTTTTTTATTAAGCTATGCCCAATCGAAAACGAAAAATTTGAACGATATTAAATAAAGTACGAGGTTAAATTTAGTTTGCATTTTCCATGTATTACGTTTCATTAAAACGGGAACGTGATTTGAAATATAAGACAGGAGGTCGCGAATATAAACGAGTCACGAGAGAACTCCTTCAGTAATTACGACAGATATCGTTCGCATGGCTCGCTCACACTGCGACCTGACTCGAAAACTGGAACACTTGCCCACGCGAAACGTTTTTGCAATTGATACGAGAGCATTTTTTTATAATTACAAAAACGAAATCCGGAATCTGAGCTACGATGGAAATATGTAATTATTTTGTAAAGTATCTTACGAGATATATATATCGTGAACAGTGCTGTTTAAATAGTGAATGCTAGTACGGATAAAGCGGCTCGTGATTGTGATTATAAACTGCATTGTATCGACATTTAGCGCACAATGCAACTCTGCGTAATGCTCACACAATGTTCCCAGTGAAAACGGTCGTATTAACGCTTAAAAGAACATTCATAGTTTGTGGTAATAAAAATAATTATTTTTTTAATCTGTACCGTATTTATAATACGGTTTTATTAGCTTCATACGTATGTATGTATGTTTGTAACGGAATCTTTGAACGTGATTTTGACCCCCTTCAAAACATCGGATTAACTCCAAATTGTATACTTGTAATTGTATACAAATGGTATTCTTATTAAGAACCGATGACAGTTCAATATTTAAAAAAAAATGAAATAATTGAGATTGGATGGAATAGTTGGATTTTCTATAAAAGCGTATTTTGTTATTTTTTTGAAACTATTATTTATTTTTTGTGTAAAAGCTCGTTTGTTCTCTTTCGAGAGATGCACAAAATTGAAAGTAAACGTCACCTTATGACGACGCGACGCAGCGATGCAGCGGTCTGAGGCTGTCGTGTGGCCGAGACTATTGCGGTCGGTTTCACCTCGCTCTTGTATCTCACCATCTCGCCGAAGAGCCGTTTCGCGTACCTTTTTTGGATTAACTCGAGCAAAATTTCGTCGGAGACTTTATTTCTCTTCGCGCAAGTTGCACTCGAAAATCGAATTTTTATTTTAATGAGCCAGTTTGTGTGGTGGCGTCTCGCTCGCACCTATTGCTGCATTGAATAAATAAATGAGTTGTTCTACTTTCTATGAGATCGTTTCTTTGCACGATCCGAAATATTTGCGGCGGCCGGCTCCGCTTTGTGAGTGACCGCGCTCGTGTTGCCCGTCAATGCGTGCTCCTCAGTTTTGTTCCTTATACAACTTTTATAATACAATAAAATGCTGTTAGCTATTATCTAAAAACATGCTCAAGTCACGAGTTTCAAGACAACTAGTAATTCCAACAGTAACTAGGGCAACAATAACAATTCCGATATTAAAATACATACCTACTAATTTGCGAAAATACATGTTAAGAATTATTATAGTTTTTGAGAATTATTTTTGTTCGTGTAAACCTATAGAGTCATAAATGATTACTATTCATAATTTATTAACTCATATTTAAATGATTCATTTAGTTTCTTAGTTGAAAAGAAAATAAAACTTAGTTCTGTTTTACATAATATGAGGTATTCATATAACTCATATCATGTTATTATTAATAGTGTAAATACATAATAACGATAGATATTAAATTACGTTGTACTAGTACATGACATGCTACATAGAATTACAGATTAAATAATATTTTTTATTAATACCAGTTCAATAGAAAACATTACAGATATGTATACCAAAAATCGTTTTATAACCAATAAGGTTGCATTGCCAAATTCTTTTATGGCGGAATTCGAACATTAAATTAACAAGGCCAACAAAATATAAACGGAATTATATGTATTAAATAGCTTGAATTGGAAATTCCGAGTTTTGTTACTTACCGGACGTATAAAGGACTTAGTGCAATGCACTGCACACGTCACAGCATGAAGGACAAGCTTTGTCTGGATCAGGTGGTCTGTGGAAGCTTGAGGGGGGGAAGGGTGCGGTGGCGGGGGGGTGGTTGGCTGGTGGCTTTAGACCGCTTCCTGTCACAGGACTGGTTTTGCGGTTTGCACCACTTTAGTTTGCACCAGTTTCGAAAAATAAAATCAATATAACCTTGTAGTGATCAATGCATTTTATTATAAAGACGTGAATATGATTGTAATTTTATTATAGGTTTTCTTTTTTCTCTATGTCTGTAGAGAAATTTACTGTGGCTTATATTTTGTTAGGTGATTAACAGAATATGGATTTGGCTTATGTTTTCTTAGGTGATTCCATATTGAATCCATATTCTGATTATCAGAATTTCAGATTGTGATTGTGATTATCTGTGACGGTGATTATCAGAACCCATATACTGATAATCACCTAACAAAATATACGCCGTAGTAAGGGTGGTATTAAACCTACCCGGTGTTAATTGGTTACCGGAGCCCGTAGGCATCACGATGTGAATATCACAACCCACCATGAGATATGGTATCTAAATCTGAATTATACAATATTCGACTCTTTTACGCTTCAAACCGAAACGCATTACTTTTTTTTCCGCACCTAAGCTGATAGACTTGTGAGGCTATGTCAGCGTAACCCTAACATGTAGGTGAGTTATCGGGGATCAAATCTGGAGGCGTTGCTAACACTAATCCTAACAAGAGCAGTGCTTCCCAAAATCTACTACCGGATCGGAAATGCGACTCACTGAGAAGATCAGGTGAGAAACTCAGTGGGCCACGTATTACTGATTCGCGGGAAAAACAGGCAAAATGATAGTACTTATCCGTGCGGGCTTTTAAAACGCCCTATCACTGATATGAAATGTTATTTCTTTATTTTGGACTAATAGTGTCATTTATATCTTTATGTTTATTGTCTCATCTTCTATTTAATACAGATTACTTTAAATTTAGCGGGTATTAGGAAGCGTTCTATAATACATAGCGTATTTATTCATATAACTGTCTTATTGCTTTGGTCATTGTTAACTATTGTTTTCGATAAAATAATAAGTCCAGAGCATGAACGGGATTCCCTTAGCATTTACAGTAAAATGTACACTCACCTTTGTAAAACCGGATCAGTGACGTGAATCGATATTTCTCTTTATTCCGGCACTCATCTGTGGAAATTACGCTGAACTTCAACAACATAAAGAGATTCCGTATTCTTTTTGTACCGACACAAATTATACTAGACGATATAAATCTTATACCTTTAAACGAGCAATCCTTGTATATCTTATATATATATAATCTGAATCTCGGAAACGGCTCCAACGATTTTCATAAAATTTAGTATACAGGGGATTTCGGGGGCGATAAATCGATCTAGCTACGATTTATTTTCAGAAAATGTTGTTTTATTCGTGTTTTCAATAATCAACTCTTCCCGACATCTATTGGCGAATAATAATACTATTTTTCTTAATTGAGGGCAACTAACCAAGATGGCGTTATCAAAAAAAAACCGGTCATCGTCTAATAATACTTAAGACAAGAAAACCACCAATGAATCATTTGCATGTTCAGTAGTTTTGATAAAAAAAATTAGTTTAGACATGGAATAGGTACTTGGGGTTTTTTTAACGTGTTCTGTGTATTGGCACGTTGGTACTCCGATCGAGTCGATGCTTGGTTCAGTTGTCAAACGTTTCTATCGCAGTACTTACTATAATGCACATCGACAAAACTTTATTTATGACAGAAAACAACATTTAGTTATTAATTGTCCAGAATGATTAAAAGTAACAAAAAAAAATGTAGTCTATAATATTTTTGAATTGTCATAGCACATTTTAGGTAAATTTGGTTAAGAAAATGTATACATCACTTATAATTCATCAAAATTATTTCTTACTTCTACACTACACTTACTTCTATTTTCTTTCTTTCTTATTTCTTACTTCTACACTTCGGTAGGCAGCGGCACGGCCCGGTAGGCAGCGGCTTGGCTCTGTCCCTGGCATTGCTGGAGTCCATGGGTGACAGTAACCACTCATCATTAGTGGCTCATGCGCTCGACTTAAGCAGACAATAGGGCAATAAAAAAAAACTTATCCTCCATCACGGTAGCTGTAATGCATCTATTTTGATTTGAAATAAATAAGATGAATGCAGTAACAAATGTCTTATTATTTATTCTCTGCCAAAAATCAGCAGATTAATCTTACAATAAAAAAGGGGGACGGATGATCTAATAAAGCCATACAAAAAAATATGGAAAAACTTGTGATTTTGGTTCTCGTCTTTGTTGATAACTTGAAACATTATCTTAACGATATTTATTGCGAATCAGTCATGTTTTCGATTTAAAACATAGCACGTTAGGTCTCAAGATGGGTTCCGACAAACACCCAATAACAGTAGAAATTGTAAGATTCTTTCACACATTAAAACTTTTAGAAATTTATTTTTTATTTATTGAAACACAAATTCCTAAAGAATTTCACTTTATTACATAACATTAATGAATTCACGAAATTTTGTTTCAGATAAAACTTTTCGATTGTCAACACAAAAACAATCATCTAGGTAAGCAGTGTTCTTTTTTGTATTCTAATAGAAATAGTAACTAGCAAACAACAAAATAACAATTAACATTCCTGATCTATTGAAGTACATTTGGGCATTCATTGAAGTATGAAAAATGTACAAGTAGTGTTGGAAGAATTTTGTATAACTACATTCGGTCAATGTTTCCGATAGCCACTGTCATCTATAAATAAGGAGTTTTGCGTTGTAAGAGAAATGTAAATACGAATAATACATATTTCATGTAGTATCGTTGTCAACGATCTTACAGAGTGCAGCGCCCTAAGGGCGTGTACAAATAAATTCTACCATTGTGAACTTGTCAAAGCTTCTGTATTCTCTCACAGAGCGAGTACATAAGCGTGACGTGACTGTTGCATGATTTTGCGACGAAGGTGAAAGTCACTTACGGCAAGTCATCTCGTCTGTATGCACCTGTGCTTCCTTTAGCGATCTATGTTGCAGCGATTTGAATTAATGAATAACAAATATCAAATAACATGACTGATTCGACCACCTGTCATTGTTATCATGTAATGCCCACGTATTTAACTCTAGGTGTTAAAATACAATCAGCTCCGTCTGTCAAAATAATAAACAATATTTAGATAGACGATGATTATGAATGCAAAACAGTCATCATGAGTTCGGTTTAGTTTTTTTTTTTTTATTGTTTAGATGGGTGAACGAGCTCAGAGCCCACCTGGTGTTAAGTGGTTACTGGAGCCCATAGACATCTACAACGTAAATGCGCCACCCACCTTGAGATATAAGTTCTAAGGTCTCAGTATAGTTACAACGGCTGCCCCACCCTTCAAACCGAAACGCATTACTGCTTCACGGCAGAAATAGGCGGGGTGGTGGCACATACCCGTTCGGACTCACAAGAGGTCCTGCCACCAGTAAAAAAGATCGATTGTAAAAAATATCGATTGTAAAGTATTGGGCTACTGTATTTTATAGTTGTCTTATATGGCACAAAAGATCATGTCAGTATGTGTTCATGTGCATATGGTACTTACTGGTCGGCATCGTATGTTTTGTTGGCAACAGGTCGCATTTACCGCAGTGAGATTCTGAAAAGATTTATTACTAAGGCTTCGTGGTTTTCGACCTGGTGAACATAAAAATGTTTGTGCAAAAAACACGTTCGCTTGAAGTGAATTGTTTCGCTCGGTTTAAAACCAAATCCTCAAGTTTTTGTTTGTTTCTGTCATTATCATAAAAATTAGATCATCTCATATAAAATGCGATATCGTAGACGATTTTTTAATAAACAATAAACATGATACATATGCATGTATATGAGTATGTTTATTTATATTGTGTTTAAAGAAGTATGCAGGAATTAAAACGTAAAATTTATCGTTTCATTTCACTTACGGCGGCAACATATTTTCATTGAATACGTCAAGTTATTTCTCTTGGTATTACAAGTTACAACTTAAATAAAACACATAATATGCTCCACTAAAATACTTGTAGATATTGAAACATATCTTTAAGTTGCGCTGTAATTTGTGCCTGTGTAACATCAAGTCTTGGAATGCGTGAATTTTGTGTTGAAACATTCCAACTCACTGCGAAGTGAACCTCGATGCATAATTACGATATGTTTATTTATATAGTTTAAACTCTTTATATATATATATTCGGACTACGGAAATAGTAGAGTATTTTTTTACCCCCCATAGATAATGCTAAGAAGATCTTTGGGAGTCATTTCATTTTAATCTTGTCCTTATGTACTACATAAGGCAGGTACAGCAGGTAAATTTGCTGTTACTGCATTTGGAAAATATGTTTACGACCTGCATTTTACATATGTTGTTATAAGTTCTATAAAATAAGGTGACGCTTCATCTAAGTTAGAAAATATATATAGCAAATTAGGTGGGTGAACAAAAATAAAAGTAAATATTTAGTATCAAATCGATAATCCAAAAATTTAAAAACGAGTTGTATTCAAAATATTACAACATTTTAACCAGAAAAAATTAGCTTGTACAAAATAAAACAAGAATATTATCAATATAGTGAAAGTTAATTAAATATGCATTATTATTAATCATTATTAAAAAATCAATTGAAAGAAGTTGATAAAATTTAAATAGAGTCACATGTTGAACTACCAGCTTCATGCTGAAGAATCATGAAAATCAGTTCAAATAGAAAAAAAGCTCTGAGGTAACTGAGACATCAAAAACTGAAATGGAGAATCTTTTCTTTTCTTTGAAGTCGGTTGAAATATGACTTGACGATTTGCAACATATATCTGAACAAGACTTAATTGGATCATATTAATAAAAAAATAATAGATCTTGATAGGAATCATCCTAATACATATAATGACCCTGTCTTGTCGGCTTAATTCGATAAAAGTCAAGGGCGGGGCGTCGGACGTTAGTTCTGATTGCACTTCTGTTTCGTGTCGAAGTATCGATGATGGCAGGCCCGCCAACCCTGATCTAACCTTTGATAAAGAATACTAATCTCGCTTGTAATGGCCTAGTCTAATTCTATGCCAAAACGACCTCGCCGTGCTCGTTACAACAGATCTCGGACCAATATTGTCTTGCAGTCATTAGCTGAAATTATTTTACAACTGTATCACATTAAAATAGAACTGATTGCGACTTTGTAACAAGAATTTTATTTTTTCAATTTGAGTCTCTTCAAAACAAGTCTATACCATTAATAAAGTCTGTTTCGACATTGAACGTTTCCATAGCGCGCAGAATGCTTTCCTGAGTTTACTTGAACATACTTAATACGAGGCTCATATGATTAAAATGTTTTGATAAAATTGTATTTGTGTTACCAAATATTTATATAATAATACTAAAGTCCTTTAGATTTGATTTAAAAAATAAACATTATTTCACTGTTTAGGATTAAACAATAAACTGTTGCTCTGCATCTTAAAAGTTACATCTCAATCGAGTTGTTGTTAAGAAAGTTCACCCATATTCGTTAAGTAACACCCCTCATTATATATTTCGTGTAATATAATAGCGGAAATCGACAATGAGTACGAATTTAACAAAGAGGAAGCAGAACTTGTTTTATTTCATTCCGAATTGCCTTCTGCGAGTATTTAAGTCGAAACGGTAATTTAGTGTCTGTCTTGTAATGGTTGCAAAAATGTGAGATTTTTTTAATACACTAATAACAATGCTTAAACGCCACTATCTTCGAGTTAATCTATGTTTAAAAAATAATAAAAGAATTTTCTACACCTACATCGAAACACGTTTGCTTTCATTAGACGGCGGCAGCTTTCGCCATTTTTATAATGCTTTCGAACTCGCTTCACATTTTTAATTTCATCAAAACGAGAATACAGCCGTTATTCCCATCAATCATTTGTACATATTCATATCGTCATTTATCTTCAAAGTCTGGACGATCTCTCGCATCCTGTTTTCCGAATATGGCCGCGACAAACGCCCAAAACTACCGGAGCGGATATTGTTACACTTGATTGATTTTTAACTTATGTTTAATGACAATTCTATTTTACACACCTTTCCTGTTCCAGATTTTGAAATGCTTACGAACTTCCTTTGAATTTTTAAAAGCGTAGCGTAGCCAGATTTCATTTGGTATAAGCGTTTATTAGAGCTCTAGATATACTAAAATGTATTTAAGCGTAGCTGCTGTCATGAGCCTTTTTGAAGGGCTTACTGTAAGCTCATGCGGCTAGAGACTACTTTGCCTATTACTGCCGTGGAGCAGTAATGTCAGTTATTGCAATACATTAGAAATTTCGATTTCATGTCTTAAGATATATTTATCTACTGCTTCAGTAATAACATTATAATACCAGGGAACCGTCAGCTCAGCAACAGCAATGAAGCTAAACAAAATCTCAATTACTCCGGAATATCAACTGTCTCACTCTTAAGCTCCACGATTACCACGCGGCAGAAGTAGGCACGCCTCTCATATATTTTCCCCAAAGTTTTATCTAATTGAACACGAACAAAAAAAAACACATATTAAAAAACCGAGACTGATAAAAAACAGTCGGCATGTTGCAAAACCAGTTTATAAAATTTTATAAGGTTGTATTGCATGCGGCCGACCTGCTGTTTATTTTATTCACAAATAGCGTTGCGCCACATTTGTAATACATTTTTTTTTTTTCAAATAAAATTATCGTTCGATTTAATCTGACAAATCAAAGCGGCTTAGGAACGTATTCAGCGAGACGTAAATCGATCGCGCTCCGATCTGCCTATTGCTAGTGCGAAACCATTGTGTGTTCCTGTCTAAAGGAGATGAACAACTATTATTGCGATGCTTTTACACTGCTCGAGATGAGAAGATGATTCATAGCATAAGCGAAGTTAGCTCAGATCCCATAGATTATCACGTAAACGTTTCATGGACCGGTTCTCATGGTTAAACTAGTTGTACCGTGTAGAGACCCATTTTTCACACTACAATGATTGTTTTGCGGCATAAATAGGCAAACAAAAATGTTATTAGGATTTTGTCATTACATTTGACGCGATGAATGTCATTATACATTTTTTTATTGCATAAATGGGTGGACGAGCTTACAGTTCACCTGTTGTTAAGTGGTTACTGGAACCCATAGACATCTATAACGTAAATGCCGCCACCTACCTTGAAATATGAGTTGTAAGATCTCAGTATAGTTACAACGGCTGCTCCACCCTTCAAACCGGAATGCATTACTGCTTTTCTACTAAAATAGGTGGTGGTACCTACCCGTGCGGACTCATAAGAGGTCCTACCACCATATATATATACTTAGTGTGGGTAAGCCTCCCACAAGATGAACTGACGACCTATTGAGGGTCGCAGGAAACCGCTGGATGCAAACGACGCAGAACCGATCTTTGTGGCGAGGCTTGAGAGAGGCCTATGTCCAGCAGTGGACGTCTGGGGGCTGGTAGAGAATTTGAAGTGTACTTATATGATGCCGGTAGTCAGCGGCTTGGTGGTAGGCAGCGGCTTGGCTCTTCCCC